TCCTTTTCTTTTTAAACATTTTTACATAATTTCTTTTTTCAGATATACCCTCAGACTTGGAATTAGTTGTTCTTGAATTCTGTTTCTCTCTTTGTTTGCCTGCCAGTCTGCCCTGTAAGCATCTTCATATATTTTTCTCTCTGAATCAGGAAGTTCCCTCCATAGATCCATGACTTAAAAATTGGTTCTGAATTTCTCACATCTGGGTTCTGAGCTTTAAATATGGGTAGCTGTTCTTTAGAAAATCGAATGTATGAAGTCATAGGCTTTTTTGGATAACTACTCAAGGCGGATGAAAATCATCTTGGTGTATTCACAAAACTGAGGGGAGGGCACAGACTTAGATTTTCATTTGGTGTTTCCCTTCTGGCCAAAGGATTTATTTTAACATTTCTGCTAGTGTGGGCCTGCTGGTAATGAATTCTATTGTGTATCTGAAAATGTGTTTATTTTACCTTTGTTTTTGAAAGATACTTTTTGCTGAGTATAGAATTTTAGGTTGACAGTTTTATTTTTTCTATGACTTTAAAACTGTTACCTTGTTTATATTGTTTCTGATAAGCAATCTGTTATCACCTTTGTCTTTGCTCCTGGATACATAATGTGTCTTTCATTATTTTCTGGCTGCTTTTAAGGTTGTCTTATAATTAATGATTTGAACAATTTGATTATTATGTTATTGATGTAATTATTCTTGTGTTCTTGTTGTTGGGGTTCATTGAGCATCTTGGACCTATATGTTTATTGTTTTTATCAAATTTGGAAAATCTGACCATTATTTTTTAAAAATAATTTTCTGGACCTCTTGACCGGCCTCAGGAGGTTGGCTGTGGGAGCACACTGACCACAAGGGGGCAGCTCCTGCATTGACCGTCTACCCCCCTGGTAGTTAGTGCACGTCATAGTGACCAGTTGACCGGTCGTTCAGTCGTAACAGTCACTTATGCTTTTATATATATAGATTCCTTTTTCTTTAGCCCATGGACTCTGCCAGTTCAATATGTTTTGTTTGGTATCTTGTTTTAAAAAACTCAAACATCTAAAAATTCATGTGAAATTTATTTTGTGTTTAAAAACTGATCATCAAAATAATCCATTAAATATATTAGTAATCATTTTACCTTTGATAAAGGTGAACCAGACTGTGAAGGTTTTTTGTAATACTTGATGATTGTGGAAAGAGTATTCTTATTTCCTTATATTATGGAGGCAGGGGTTTCCTATTCGGAAGTGTCCCAAATTGTAGACCCATATGTTCTATAACTAATTGTGCATTTTTAAAAGAGCACCCAGACCTTGGCCAGTGTGGCTCAGTTGTTTGAGCATCATCTCGTGCACCAAAAGGTCATCGGTTTGGTTCCCAGTCATTCACATCCTCAGGTTGTGGGTTCGATCATTGGGGTGTGTATGGGATCATCTTGGACCTATGTGTTTATTGCTTTCCTTTCTTTCTCTCCCATCCTCTCTCTCTCAAAATCAAAAACATTTAAAACGTTTTTTAAATAAAGAGCAGCAC